AGAATAAAGTTCATCTATAAGAAAAGAGAGAGATGAAATATTAAAGTGCAAAAAATTGATTGGGTTTATATTTATATCCAAATCTTGCAATCTAGGATGCAGTTGGTTATTTTAATGTTACTTAATATACTTGAATTACTCATAGATTTATAAACCATTTGTGTGACAATGATTATCTATTCAAATTAATAATGTAATATTTTTGTAAATAATTATAGATTATATAATATAGTAATTAATAATATATATATATATATATATTTTTTTTTATTTGCATTCACTCCCAACAAGGCTGCAAGCAACCACTATTAAGTTGGGAGTTACTAGGAAAAAAAAAGAACAGAGTTATAGAGCAAGGAAACGGTTGACAGAAGACTTGAAAAGTTGAAGGTTGTATGAGTCAGGAAAACATGAAGATGGGAGAGAGTTCCAAAGGATTGAAGTGCGGGGAAAAAAACTAGATGAATAAAAGTTTTTAGAGCATGCAGGGACAGATACAGTAAACGAATGAGACTTAGCTGAATGACGAGTAAAACGAGAATGAATTTTAGTTGATGGAACTAGAGATGATAACTCCTTTGAGCAGTGACCATGATAGTATTTGTAGAAAAGAGAAAGAGATGCAACTTTACGACGATGGGAAAGAGGTTCAAGCTTAGCAGATAGTCCAGGTCCAACAACATTTACAATGCGTTTTTGGACCTTGTCAAGAAGAGAATGTGAATCGTTAGAAGAACCAGCCCAAATATGACAACAGTATTCCATACAGGGACGAATAAGAGATTTTTAGAGGTAGAGAATGGAATCAGAAGTAAGGAAATGGCAAGCACGATAAAGAGAAGCAACCTTAGCAGAAGCTAATTTAGCAATCGATTGTATATATGGTTTCCATGAAAGGTCAGTAGTAAGCGATAATCCAAGAAGACGTAAAGAGGACGACTCAGTAAGAGGATTGCCATTCATTAATATAGGAATGTTGACCATATTACGGTAGTTGTTTGCAGTAAGCAACTGGGTTTTTTTAGAGTTGAAATTCACAAGCCACTGTGAACCCCAATCTATTACTGAAGTGAGATCGGATTCAAGATCAGCTGCTTGTTCTAGGCGATCGAAAAGAGAGGACTTTTTGTCAAGACAGGAGTGTAAAGTTGAGTCATCAGCAAAAAGAGCTACTTTAGATGAAAGGTTGGGCCCAGGATGAAACCTTGGGGAACCCCAGAAGTTAATGGAAATAAAGAAGAGTGAGATCATTGCATGGTCAGAACCACCTAAGGGAGAAAAGGGAGAAACTGAACATAAGCTAGGGTCAGAGAAAAGACATAAGTCAAGGAGTGAAGGTAAATGATTAGGGTTGTCAGGAAAACGAGTCACAAAGTTAACTATCTGAGTAAGAGATTGAGAAACGCAGAAGTTAAAGGCTTTAGTGCCAGCAGGATCAGTGGTGTTAGAACCGAGCCATTCAGTGTGATGTGCATTAAAATCACCAACAACAACAATATTGGCAGAGGGGTAAAGAGAGAGGGCATGGTCAATTTGATCAGAGATAACATCTAAGAGAGTGCAATCATGGGAAGAAGGAGAACGATAAAGAACAAAGAGAAAGGTGATAGAGTGAAGAGGTGCTAGGCGAAAGCACATAAAAGAATGGTCAAAGGATTCGAACCTGATTTCACGACAAATAGGGGAATTAATGTGAATATTTGAGTCTTTACGAATCAAAGGATAGTACCCATCAACACTGACATCTGAAGAAGGAATTGCAGAATTTAAATTTGTTTCACTGAGTGCAAGCAAGTCTGGTGAGTTTTGCAGGAGGTAAGACTCAACTGATGGAAAGTTGCTTCGTAGACCGCAAATATTTGTAAAAGATATATTAAAATATTTAGGTGGTGGGAATGGTTTTTTATGTTTTAAATTTTTGGTTACTTTGGTCATGATTTGGGTTTAATGAGAACTTGACTCATTCATAGATAGAGCAAAGCCTTCTAATCAATGAGCTATGCAGTTGTCTCAGTCCTGTTAATTAACCCTAAGCCGTGACATAGGGCTCCTTATGTGGCCTTGACAATGCACACCAAAAGCATTAACAGGGACACTATCCATGCGCAACATGGCACTGTTAATACTCTGATATTTTGTAGCTGTTGATGGAATCAGCCTCTCTGAGAGCTACCACAGAGTTCGGTAAACCTTACTATGGAGAGCTACCACAGAGTTCGGGAAACCTTATTACCCTCATATGGAGATAACAGGAAGAGTTGCATAGCCATTATCAAGGAGGCATAAGCAAAATACTATGAGTAGAGTCAAGGAGATCCAGCATTCATCATCCTAGGCAGCAAACAATGTAACACAGGTTACATCTACACCAGCCTAATAGATGAAGAAGGGGTTTGAGGCTGGTTAGCAGAATTTTTCTGCTTACCCCTAAAGTCTTTGCCTAGGAGGCCTTCTACAAGACAGTAGCTGGATGCAGTTAACATCTGCCCAAGATGAGTATTTTTATCGAGACACCATCTCTAGCCTTTACTCAACCAAGAGCCCCAAGGCAGGGGGTGTTTAGCTGGATGCAGTTAACATTTGCCCAAGATGAGTGTTTTTATCGAGACACCATCTCTAGCCTTTACTCAACCAAGAGCCCCAAGGCAGGGGATGTTTAGCTGGATGCAGTTAATATCTGCCCAAGATGAGTGTTTTTATCGAGACACCATCTCTAGCCTTTACTCAACCAAGAGCCCCAAGGCAGGGGAATTTTTAGTCGGAGTTTATTTCTCCTAGCCTTTGCATAAGAAGAGCACACTCTGCAAGGCAGCAGAGCTTGTGGCAGGTGGTACTGGGTTACGTGATACCAGTAGCAAGATTGATCTCAATTATCCTGACCTGACCTGGAGTAGTTAAAAGGAGTTACTTCCCGCAATAGTACTTTGAGAAAACCAGGCATGACATTTTGGAAGTGCATTAGGAAAAACACTGCATCTAACAAAATACAGGAGTCTAAGGTGAGTGTAGGTTTTGTAATTGGAGTAAGTAGTTAGTTACTGAGCTCACACTGCATTAGAGTATAAACAGAACACAAACAAACATAAATAAACATAAATCAACTTACAGGTCAACACCGCGCCAGAGGTTCAGACAGAACACAAACATATATAAAAAACATAAAGTAACTTAGGGGTGAACGAACACCGCGCTAGAGGTTCAGACAGAACATAAACATACATAAAAAAACATAAAAAACATAAACATAAACATAAAGTAACTTACGGGTGAGCGAACACCGCGCCAGAGGTTCAGACAGAACACAAACATACATATAATGTAGATTACAGGTGAGCTAATACAGTAACTAAGGCACCTCCAACTATATGAGAAAAAAAAAAAAAAAAAAATTACTATAGGCATGACTGATATAAAATAGTACTGATGACAGGAAGAACACTCCTTCCAGCCTTTGCTTAGAAAGCAAATCCTGCAAGGCAGCAGAACATGGAGCAGGTTACACTGGGTTACATGTTACCAGTAGCAGGATGATCATGAAGACCATACTCCTGACCTGACATAAAATAATCATGACATAATCTAATAATACATAATTTATTAGAAGATAAAATATAAATTTAATAAAAGATTTAAATGCTTTTCTGTTTTTATTATATACCATTCCTCTAAAATGGCTGTATGTAAGAGCTTTGTGTTGCTAAAAAATAAGACATTAGCAAAACAATGCTTTTTTCACTATTTTTTAAATAGTGAAAAAAGCATTGTTTTTATCTTTTAAATAATTTCTTGTGGTATAAGATATATTTTATCTTCCGATTTAAGTTATAAGAAATCAACTTCAAAGTCGTCATTTTATTGTACAATTTAATTAATTTGGGTAAAAACATCAACTATAATGGCGTACAAACTATTGTCTTTTAGTAATATTTCAACCTCTTTTGTGCAGGTTAAAATACTTTTGGTTATATTTTTAGTCTGATGGCAATCTGTATAAGACATATTTTAGATTATATTTTACATCGGATGACGATCTGTGTAAAACTGGTTAAAATGTCTTATACACGAATGTGAAAGATACATACTGCATAATAATTTTAATAAGATTTATATTTGTTGAAATAAGTTTTTGTTCGATAACCTTTATTTTGAGTTTTGTAAATTAAAATGGTTATTGTTAATAAGGGTATAATTTTTTATATATACTTCTAGAGGTACCCGGCAAGTTTTTTAGCTGTGCTGGTTTACCTTGTAATTATTGGAAGTACCTGGTAATTTTGGAGGCGCTTTTTAATTTTTGAAGGTGCCTGGCAACCGAGAAACACAAAAAGAAGGTGTCGGCTACCTGGAAAACTCAGCGGTGTACCGGGTAATTTCAAATTACCAGGTACCCGGCAAACATAAATAAATTACAAAGTACCTATCAACTTCCTGAGTTTCCAAGCATTTGAAAAACTTACTTTGCTCCTTCAGGAGTAGCCAGGCACCTCCAAAAATTAGCTAGCAACTCCAAAAATTACAAGATACCTAGCAAAACAAAAAATATCGCCGGATACCCGCACATCTCTATATACTTCCCAACAAGAAAATTTGATACGTGACATCCACACCCGATATATATGGGGTGGCAAAGATGTGGGCAATGTATGATATTCTTAAGTATGATTTTTCTTAAGTTGGTATAAGTATTAAAGCCACAAGTGGGCCATATGCGGCTACTATTAAGTGGTATAAATACCATACACCGCCTACATTTACATCATCTCGTAAATCGAGTGATGCTATCATTTAATGACGCATGACACATGAGGCCCACATTAAATTTTCTCGTCAAGTTTATAACAAGATAGTCAACTCTTTCTCATATTGTAATATTTACGTGTGTAAAACAGTTTGCTATGAGTTATCTTAATGGTTTTTATATTTATTTTGTAAAACTTAATGAAATTACCAAATAAAATATTTAGTTTATAGTAAAATTTGTATATTTTTTAATATATCAGGAACGATCTGCTCAGGCACGCATTATGGATCTTGAAGCTCAGTTGATGAGGTCTTCTCAAAACACCGAGTTACTAAAAAGAACTAAAGAAGAGGTTTATTTTATTTTTGAATTTTTTTCTTCGTCTAGTTTATAAAATATGAGTTTGCGAGTTTGTTTTCTTTTAGGCTGAACGTAAATTTAACAGTCGTTTGCAAGATATGCGAGATCGTTTAGAACAAGCGAATAGTACAACTAAAAGTATGCAAACATATGTTCAATTTCTAAAATCAACATATGCCAACGTTTTTTCAGATGATATTCCCTCCGATTTTAACGAAATATAAAGCTTATATATTGTGTGTTTATATATATATATATATATATATATATATATATATATATATATATATATATATATATATATATATATATATATATATATATATATATATATATATATATATATATGTGTGTGTGTGTGTGTTATGTGAGTATTTCGGCGTATTTATGTCTGTGTGTGCGAGTGTATAGGTAAGTATATCTATGTGTGTAAGTGCGTATATGTATGTAGGTGTTTAATTTTAGGTTATGTCTTTGTTATTTTATTTTAATTATTGAAATTAATTTTAATTCTTTTTTAACAACAACATTTATAAATTAGGTTTCGGTTTTACAACCTAAAACGTTTAAAGATTTATTGAAGCCTGTACCTAATTTATAAAGTTTGATGTTTAGAATATATTTCTAAAGGCGCAAATTTTTTGCATATAAATAAATAAAGCATATCTATAGTAATACATAGTTTATTCATATATTATTTATGTGAAAATGAACTTGTTTTTAACATATTAATATAGAGTATTTATAATAGTTCAGATAAGTTATAATGTATATATATATATTTTTTCAATCTAGAAAAAAGTAATAAATTACATAATAGCCTTTTTGTATTTCATATGCAATTAGAAAACCGTACAGCACAGGCACTGATCTCTATAAAAAACTTGCGCATTTCTTCAATCGAAATCGAAGCCAAAATTAAAATTTGATGGCCATATCGGGGGTCCTACGTTAATTTTAAAACTTTTGTATATATGAGCTGTTTATATCTGTTATATACTTTTTATCATTTTTAAATAAATTTTTGTTACTAATAACAGGGAATATCTTTTTTCGGATATTTCCGGAATTCCGGATATTTTTCTCAAAATATAGTTTTTCCGGATACCCAAAATGTTTTCTATTACATTCAAGTTTATATAATGTTTGTTTTAATCAGCCATAAAAAAAATGTCAAAATGTCTATAAAAATTCTGAAACCTACCAGCTGAGAGCTAAATTAGGTGAATAGTAAGAGAAAATATGTTCCGGATTTTTCCGGATATTTTACATAAACTATATTTTTAAAAAATGACCTGGATGATCCACTGACCTCTATAATAACTGGATAGCGCAACTCTGAACAAAATTTTGAATTTTTTGACGCCTTAATCGCCATAATGTGCGGATTCAAACAAGATCATCGAAGTTCAGAGTGTTGTGCATATGGGTGCAAAAAAAGGAAAAGAACTGGGGTTGAAGAAGCAATATTTTAGGAAGTTAATATAATATAAGAATAATATAATTATCTATAATGATTCTTATATAGTTATTTTTATAGATATATATAATATATATATATATATATATATATATATATATATAAATTATTGTAGATAATTATATTATTATTAAATTATATTAACTTCCTAAAATATTGCTTCTTCAACACCCAGTTCTTTTCCTTTTTTTGTCTTTTCCTTTTTTATATATATATATATATATATATATATATATATAAATATATATATATACTATATATATATATATATATATATATATATATATATATATATATATATATATATATATATATATATATATATAAAATACAAATAGATAGAAACAAATGTATATCAGTATGCACCTTTTGATTCTTAATTACCTGCTGCAAAATGCCTGAGGCTTGTAACATATTTGCAAAGTAAACAGTTTGTATGAATCAATAGTTGGGCTATGCGAGTGTAACACAACCCAAAGGTTCCTTAGGCATATATATATATATATATATATATATATATATATATATATATATATATATATATATATATATATATATATATATATATATATATATACATATATATATATATGTATATATATATATATATATATATACATATATATATATATATATGTATATATATATATATATATATATATATATATATATATATATATACATATATATATATATATGTATATATATATATATATATATAAATATATATATATATATATACATATATATATATATATATATATATATATATACATATATATATATATATATATATATATATATATATATTTATATATATATATATATATATATATATATATATATATATACATATATATATATTTATATATATATATAATATAATATATATTATATACATATATATATATATATATATATATATATATATATATATATATATATATATATATATATATATATATATATATATATATATATATATATATATATATATATATATATATAGACTTTAATAAAACATTTGACAGTGTCAATTACTAGCTGTTGTTTCAGAAATTACTAGATAATAAGTTACCCAAAAAACTTATTTGTTTGCTTGCATTTTGGTATAGTAATCAACAAATGTTCGTTCGATGGCAGAAAATAACTTTTACATAACTAATATGATTTTATTAATCTCAAAACTACTTATTGGATATAATATAGGTGGCTTACGCTAATGATATGGTTTTAATTTCACCATCTTGGTCTTAAAAAACTAATTAGCTTTACAAATAAGGAATCTTCCTTAATTTACATGTCCTTTAACACAAAGAAAACTGTATGTATGGTGTTTAACCCATCTCAAAAATTATATCAAACTCCTTCCCAGAATTATGCATATCATATATATATATATATATATATATATATATATATATATATTATATATATATATATATATATATATATATATATATATATATATATATATATATATATATATATATATATATATATATATATATATATATATCTAGGCGCTACCTCAGTTTCTCCCTCCCCTATTTTTTATTATTGATGATGAATTTTATTCTGATTAAGAATCATATAAAAACATAGGTCTGAAAATCAACAGATAGTGCTCTAATTTGATGTTGAAGTTTAAAAAATTACACTAAAAAACGCTAATATTCGCCATTTTTTAAATACGTTTTACATTTTGATATCGATCGTTAAGAAAATCTTTTCTTAATTAGGCGACCCGGTTTTTATTGTCATCAAAGTTAATTTATAATTGAATTAAATGTTTTAATGAATGTATTTTATATAACTTTAATTATTTTTTTAAAAAAAATTCAAATATTGCTTTTTAAATGTACAAAAATCAACTGAAAAATAGGGATTGGCGCAATTAAATGTACACTCATCGACTGAAAAATAGGGATTGGGCAATTGAATGTACATACATCGACTGATAAATAAGGATTGGCGCGATTAAACGTACATGATTTGGGACAGGGTTTCGGTTTGGGCAAGGGATAAATCAGAAAATGATGCGCTGAGTATTTTTTAATAGTTTTGCATTAAATTGTTGATAGAAACCAGGCTTTTTAAAAATAGTCTTTGAAAAGAATTTTAATATAACTGAGAATAAAAAAAATGGCGAATATTAGCGTTTTTTAGTGTAATTTTTTAAACTTCAAGATTAACTTAGAGCACTTTCTGTTGATTTTTAGACCTATATTTTTATACGATTCTTAATCAGCATAAAGTTTTCTATCATAATCAGCAATAAAAAAGAGGGGTAGGGGGGTAGAAACTGCTGTAGCGCCTATATATATATATATATATATATATATATATATATATATATATATATATATATATATATATATATATATATATATATATATATATATATATATATATATATATATATATATATATATATATATATATATATATATATATATATATATATATATATATATATATATATATATATATATATATATATATATATATTGTTGTTGTATGATTTAGTATTAAAAATACTAAACTCTTGATCGTTGTAGAGTGCTCAATATTTAAGAAATATTTAGTTTTTCAAAAACAGAGCGTTTTATACTTAAATATAGAAAAAACAACTTTTAATGGAACTTAAAGTTTCATGCCTATCGGCAATCATCAGCCATGAAGTACCTCATGGTACTTCATGGCTGATGATTGCCGATAGGCATGAAACTTTAAGTTCCATTAAAAGTTGTTTTTTCTATATTTAAGTATATATATATATATATATATATATTATATATATATATATATATATATATATATATATATATATATATATATATATATATATATATATATATATATATATATATATATATATATATATATATATATATATATATATATATATATATTATAAAGGACCTATTATAAAGGAATTCTTTTAATATTCTATAATTAAATTTAAAAACAAAAATGGATGACTACGAATCCATTACTTTTAATTTTCATGATAAGTACTTAAAATCAAATTTTAATTCAGATCCAGATGTCAACTTTTTTAATGATGTGAACACATGTTGTTCTTATTTTTATCCCAACGAGTTAAAAGAATTTCTTAATAAAAATGGCACTGAAAATCAAAAAATCAGAGTCCTTCACATTAATATTAGAAGTCTAAATACAAATTTTGAAAAGTTTTGCGATTTTTTAGATGAAACTGAAAATATTATTAACATAATTTGCTTAACAGAAACGTGGATTTCTTCGAATGATTTTAAAAATAATTCTATTTTCCATCTTCCAGGTTTTGAAACAATTTTATTAGAAAGACAAACAAATAAACGCGGTGGAGGAGTTCTGATTTACGTTAAGGAACACATTGCACATAACATTAGGAATGATATGTGCGTTTCTGACGGTGATAAAGAAATCGTAACTATTGAAATTTTAAACAATAAAAAAAATAGTATTCTATTAAGCTGCTGTTATAGACCACCTGATGGTGCGTCTGAAAATCTTAGTTTCTTTTTACAGCAAAATATCATTCACTAAGGTAGCAAAGAAAACAAAATTACTTTTATAATTGGAGATTTCAACATGAACTGTTTAATTTATAATAAAGATAAAAAAATAAAAAGTTTTTATGATGAAATACTTATGGCAGGAGCTCTTCCTTTAATTAATCGCCCTACTAGAATAACCAAAACTTCAACTACGTTGATTGATAATATTTTTACAACAGATATTTATAATAGAAAATTAAAAAAAGGAATTATAAAAACCGACATATCCGATCATTTCCCCATTTTTCTAACAATCCATACTGTATCCTCTAATAACCCCGAAAGACAAAATATAATAAAAAAACGTATATAAATTATCACTTCTGCATTGGAAACATATTAACTTTAATGAAGACGCAAATACAATATATAATAAATTCTTTGATACGTTCTTCTCAATATACGATGCAAACTTTCCACTTTGTGAAAAAATAACAAAAATAAAAACCTTAAATAGTCC